TTTCACGAGGACCTGCAGAAGCTCTATACATGGACGGGCGTGGAGAACAAGCCCACAGTCTTCCTCTTCTCAGACAGTCAAATCCTTGTAGAAGAGTTTGTCGAGGATCTTAACAACATCCTCAATTCTGGTGAGGTACCGGGTCTATTTGATGCAGAGGCTCTGGAAAAACTCATTATTGGGACGCGACCTTTTGCCAAGGAGACCGGTATTGCAGAAGGAAATAGGGAGGCTATCTACCGATTCTGCATTGATCGAGTGCGCAAAAACCTTCACCTCGTACTTACCATGTCGCCCATGGGATCGGCCTTCCGAAATCGTCTGCGAATGTTCCCATCTCTGGTCAACTGCTGTACGATTGACTGGTTTACTGAATGGCCTGAGGATGCACTTCTTGGGGTTTCACAATCATCGTTTGCCACTTTGGATATTGATTCGGAGGAAACGAAGGTGAGCGACTTGTAGGTTGCAGTTTGAAAGTGATGCACTCGTACAAGTCAAAAGCCACTCATAAACTCGGGTTTCTTTAAAAAGTTTTGAGCATTCATTAACAAAAGAAGCCTCTCCTTTTACCAGGCTCTCCTACTTTCGATGAAATCAATTTTGCAAATATCGAATCGCTCTTCTTTCATTACCACAGTTCAGAAGTGCATAGAAACGCTTTTTAATGTGCTGCTATGCTTAAAGACTGGTTTGGTTTCAACTCTAGATCATTCATTTTGCAGCTTTAAGTTCACATTTCTTGCAAACTTATAGCAGACGTGATAACGTAGTGTCCTGCCAATAATGTCTAGGTGACAGCAAGTACCATTTGTAGTTTTTAAATTGGTATTACTTTTGGCCATGTCCAGAACAAGGTAGCCGAACTGTGCACCTTTACTCACCTGAGCGTGTCTTCGGCAGCCGTGAGATTTGTCCGCGAGTTGAAGCGCTACTACTACACTACTCCAACGAGCTACTTGGAGCTGCTCTCTACCTATCGTGTCATGCTTGATGACCGCAGAAGGTAAAGACAAGGCTCCTTCCGCGCTCATTTCTATTGGATTTTTTTCTTTTAAGTGGCTTAAGTTGAAGTCGAGATTTAAACGAGTCAACTTTTTAAGCTTGACCTGCACTATATTTGAGTGGTTCCAGATAAGTGCTCCTAGAGATCGAAATTCTACTGTGTAGAAACTGATCTCTTTTTTAAAGCGCTTGAAAATACGATATTGTTTTGAATGGTTTACTAATGCAATAAAAATTATGCTTTCATCATTACAGCAACCTCAAAATAATGAAAGAGAAGTTTAAAAATGGTCTGAACAAGATTCAGGAGACCAACGATTTGGTAACCCGCATGGAAGAGGAGTTGACTGCTCTTCGACCCAAGTTGGAGCAGAAGCAGAAGGACACAGAAAAACTTATGATTAAACTGGGTGAGGATCAGGAAAAGGTAGGTCGCAAGCCAATAAGTAGGATGTTTTATTCGCGCAGACAGTTGATTGGTTAATCACAACAGCTTTGTGTTAAGCTGATTGGCTCCATTGGATTTGCTTCGCAAATGACAGTTACATTAGTTTCTAACACCTTTTGTTCAGTGATTTGAGTGAATATGAATCAATCCAATTTTTTATTTCTATATTTCTATCTATTCCTAAAGTTACTGTTTGGATTATGCATTTCAAAAATTGCTTAATTTTAAGGCACACAAATTTCGCATTATAGAACCATTTGGGTTTGAAAGTAATTTACTCAAGATACGCTGGATTTGTTGTGACACATTTGAGTTACCGCCAATCATATGTGAAACGCTATTGCTTAACTTTTTAGGGAAAGTTTAGTAATCGCGTAGTATTCACCTAACTTAAACCCAACTGGTCTGTTTATAACACACAGGTTAATGCAACAGGATAGTGTAAACAGGGGAGGACCGCACATATATGTATGACCAGTTTCTTCCTCTTTCTGATCATTGAAGCAGTTGAGCATTGTAGGCCGATGATATTATGCAAATTAACTTGCTTGGGAACTACTTACCTTCTAGGCAGATGTCGTGAGACATAAAGTGAAGGACGATGAGGCAGATGCCAAACAGAAGGCGCTGGAGACGCAGGCCATCGCAGACGATGCCCAACGAGACCTCGATGCCGCAATGCCTGCCCTTGAGGCTGCTAATAAGGCCTTAGATTCCCTGGACAAGAATGACATTGCTGAAATTCGTGTCTTCACGAAGCCACCTCAACTTGTGCAAACGGTCATGGAGGCAGTGTGTCTGATGCTGGGACAAAAGTAGGCATCCAATTTTGCTTCTCTTTTTGCTCTGTGAGATCTCACCAACTTTAACACTAAGTTGCTATTCTATAACCACAGGAATTTTTATTTTTGTTGAAGTTAATTAATGCTCCAACAAAGGCGAGTGCCTGCTCACAGAATTATTCTCACATTCACTTCTACCTTTATCCATGAATTCCTCATAATTAACGTTGCTGGTGTACAACTTTCCAACTTTGAAGAAAGTATCCTTCAGTTTATTGTCATCTCAACAATATGAGCTCCTTTCTTGCAGGACAGACTGGACAACTGCTAAGACACTACTTGGCGACAGCAACTTACTGCGTAGATTAGTTGAGTATCCAAAAGACACCATTTCGGACTCTCTGCTGAGGAAGCTTCAAAAGTACGTCGAAAATCCGGATTTTGACCCAATGGTAATTGAGAAGGTCAGCAAGGCCTGCAAATCCCTTTGCATGTGGGTGCGAGCGCTAGAAATGTATGCTCGAGTCTACAGGAACATTGAGCCCAAACGAAGGCGGTTAGTTGAGCCCTGCATTTTTTCTCTTCTTACTACCAGTTGTGTTATCTTTTATGAGCACAATTTATTTCCATTTTATGTCCTATATTTGAATGCATATTCGTGTATTGACTTCATTGGCGGGGATTGAAACACTTGTCTTTTACTAGCTCTAGGTCATTCACTGAATACTAACTCCATTTTGTACCCCCTTTTTTTAAATTATAATGTTATTTTTTGTGAGTTTGTAGTCACCTTCAATTGTACTTATTGACATTCTTGTTTGCTAATTGAATAGACTAAATAAAATTGATAAAATAATAAAGGTATGTGGGTTCTACTTTCAATTCATTGCTTCAGACTCGAAGAAGCCAACAGAGAGATGGATGTTATGGTGGCCAACCTGCGCGAGAAGCAAAGCGCATTGAAAGCAATTGAAGACAAGATAGCCGAGTTGCAAGCTACTTACGACAAGTCAGTGAGTGAGAAAAAAGTGTTGGAACACAACCTAGCATTGACAGCTTCCCGTCTCAAACGGGCCGCCAAGTTGACTGCAGCTCTGTCAAGCGAGCAGGAGCGTTGGCGAGACTCTATTGCAGTATACGACGTTCAATTGGGCAATGTTGTTGGCGATGTCTTCATTGCGGCGGCCTGTGTGGCCTACTATGGAGCCTTTACCATGGAGTTTCGTGAGAGTTTGGTCAGCACTTGGGTTGCTAAGTGCCACGAGCTTGAGGTGCCTGTCAGCGAAAATGTCGGTCTTTTTAGTGTCCTTGGAGATGCCTTTGAACTGCGGCAGTGGAATGCAGAGGGCCTGCCGAGAGACCAAATCAGTACAGACAATGGAATTATGGTAACACATTCACGTCGATGGCCGTTAATGATAGACCCGCAAGAACAGGCCAATCGATGGATTCGTACAATGGAAGCAGAGAATGGGATCCGTGTTGTCAAGCCAACAGATTCGAACATGTTACGGGTGCTGGAGTCCTGCATAAGAGTTGGATGTCCGATGTTGTTGGAAGATGTTGGAGAGAGTCTTGATCCAGCACTGGAACCTATTTTGCTTCGACAGACCTTTGTAAAGGGTGGAAGGCTGCTGATTCGTCTGGGAGACAGTGATATAGAGTATGATAAGAAATTCAAGTTCTACATCACAACTAAGTTGTCAAATCCACACTACATGCCGGAAGTGTCGATTAAAGTGACGCTTATTAACTTCACCGTAACGCCACAGGGTCTAGAGGATCAGTTACTAAGTGAAGTAACGCGTCTCGAAAGGCCAGAACTGGAGGAACAGAGGGTGGAACTGATTGTTCATATAAATGAAGACAAAATTACCCTTCAGGTTGGTTCTCCATTTCTTTTGCACTGATTGAGCATCATCATTATTGTCCTCAATTGTCGAGACCTACGAAACATACCTACTTCAACAGACTCATTATTACACGTTAGCTGTTGATAAATAAACTTTTGTCCTTCTTGATGGTGATACTGATAGGAGGGAATTCCCACTTTACCTCAGCTTCGTAGCTCAATAATGTGGCTGATATACCGCTAAAATTCTTCTCATGTTTGTCGCCATTGCAAAGCTCTCCGACGTAATGAAATTTCGCCATACCCCTTTGTGGTATTTACCAACGCGTTTGAAGGCTTCAAGTAGATGCTTACCAAGCAGCAAAGTTGAGCTTAATTGCAGCGAGAACAGTGGGAGTTTTCGATTGGTGAACATAATTTTTTTTTGCATTTTAAAATAGCAAATAGAGGACAAAATCCTGAAGCTCCTCTTTGAGTCTGAGGGCAATATATTGGACAATGAGGCTTTGATCAACACCTTGAATGAGTCCAAGGTGACATCGATGGAGATCGCAAAGCGCTTGGTCGAGGCAGAGGCCACAGAGGCCATGATTTCGGCTGCTCGCTCACACTTCCTACCCATCGCAGCCCGCGGCTCCGTTCTCTACTTCGTCATTACTCTCCTCGCTGACATCGATCCCATGTACCAGTTCTCTCTCAAGTATTTCATCTCCGTGAGTGTCCTACCTCACTTGCTTTTTTGTAATTTCAGTAATGAGGAAATGCCACTGTCCGCCTTTACTAGACTGTTTGATTTAAGTTTGAAATCTTAGTGAATGCTGTATGTCCAAGAGTGAGAAGCATTAAACAGTCACATGGTAGTCTAAAATAGCCCACTTTATCACCAAATCTATTACCCAACATTTTGGCAATCCTTTGTCCTTTAGCTCTTCAATCAAACTATCGAGAAGTGTTCCCAGGAGGACGAGTCGGTGGACCGTGCTGAAGTACTCATTAACGCCACCACTTTGGCCACCTACAACAACGTCGCCCGCGGTCTCTTCGCACAAGACAAGCTTGTCTTCTCCTTTATGCTATGCGCCAAAATTCTCTTGCACGAGGGCACTATTGCCCAATCGGAGTGGGACTACCTCGTCTCCACCGCTACCCAGTCAGACCGTACCTCTCCACTCCAACCTGCGAACACGATGAGCTGGCTTGGAGCACGTCAATGGAGAGCCATCTGTGACCTTGTTGATGGACTGCCAGACATTTTTGGCAGTTTGTTGGAGGATGTCACTAAAGGTCGCAAAATAGTTCTCATCATCCGCGGACCTCAAGAGGCTTCAAACGAAGGTCTCACGATCACCCTCACTTCTCCTCCGGGCAACACTGGGAGCGAAGAGGGTGGGACAAACTGGGATGATCATCTCAGTCTCTTCCAAAAGATTGTCCTAATTCGAGCCCTGCGTGAGGAGGAGTTTGTGACAGCAGTAACAGCATTTGTGCGCGTGCAATTGGGTCAAAAGTTTGTGGAGACACCGTCAATAGATTTGCCACTGGTCTACGCTGATATGGATGCCGCTACGCCGTTAGTTTTTGTACTTTCTCCCGGCTCTGATCCGATGGCACAGCTACAAAGATTCGCTCGACAGATGGAATACTCCGAGAGGATACATTCAGTCTCGTTGGGTCAAGGCCAGGGTCCCACGGCTGAGAAGCTGCTAGCCAAGGCAGCGGGAAGTGGTGACTGGGTGTTCCTACAGGTAAGTAATAAGTGGTATTTAACCATTCTTACCAGCCATTCTTTTAAGGATGTGATGAAATTGTTGCATCAATCGGGAATCTGGTTTCATTCCATTAAATGACGTGAACTTTGATCGATTTGATGTTCCTTTGATTCAAGAACTGTCATCTGGCAGCTTCGTGGATGATACGAATGGAGGAAATCATAAAGGGGCTCCAAGAGTCGTCGGGATCAACTGACCCTAACTTTCGTCTCTTTCTCAGCTCCATGCCAACTAAGGCTTTCCCCATCACTGTGCTGCAGAACTCTGTCAAGGTTACCAACGAACCTCCGAAGGGCATCCGAGCAAATCTTCGAAGAGCCCTGACCGACTTATCCCGTGAATTCTTCGAGGAAAGTGGTACGTTTTTTCTCCATGCGTTCCCATGGCTTCTAAATCGCATAGTCTGTTTTGAAGCAAGAGCCTATTTATTTGCAGTCTCTAACTCGATTTTTTGGCAGTTCTGGGTTCCATTTGGCGCCGCGTTGTCTATGGCATGTGTCTTTTCCATGCTGTCATTCTGGAACGCAAGAAATTTGGTCCTCTTGGCTGGAATATTCCTTACGAGTTCAATGACTCGGATCGTGAGTGCGCTTTGTTAAATCTCAATCTCTTTTCGGACGAGCATGGTTTCGCATGGGATGCCCTCACCTACATCACAGCAGAGGTGGGTTATACATTCTGCCCCATGTGCTACAGTTTGCCATTGTTCGGACTGCAGTTTGAATTCCTTATACTTTGTCAAGATATGGAATTGAAAGATCTCCTAGGCAAGGTCTATTTTAGAGATCGTAAATTGACATGCAAGTGAGGTATGTACATGCACAGGACACCAGTTTGGAGAATTTTTACTTTTTGACAACCCATATTAGGTCAACAAGGCCATTTAGTCTACATCTGCTAGAGTTTTCCATCATAGTGAAGTTGAGTGAACCTACGACATGAACAGCCGCACATCTGTTTAAACCGCTTCATGTCTAGCGCTAATCAGGCGGTTATAACCATGACGTAGTTTAACTTTGTAACGGAGACCGGATGCAGTAAAAACTTAGGTTCTGAAGTCACTTTAGTCATCACCCTTGATCATCAATAACACTTTGTAATTGCGTGTCGTAATTTCTGAACAGAAGTAAAACCGATATGAGTCGATACTACTGAATACCCTACTTAAATTGTAGATAACTTACGGCGGTAGAGTGACAGATGCTTGGGATCAGCGATGCCTGAGTGTAATCTTGTCGCGCTTCTTTGGTAAAGAAACGTTGGCAAAGGGCTATCGCTTTTGTCCCAACTCTGACCTCTTTCTTCCACCACCAATGGAGAGCCTAGCAGAGTACCTGGAGTACACGGATACTCTGCCGCTCCTCGACCCCACTGACATCTTTAACATGCATTCAAATGCCAATCTTCTCTTCCTGGTTAGCCCTTTTATCCTCATTTCATGCTACCTTCGTGCTCAGCAAGATTGAAGTGTCGCATATGATCTCTGGTTTTAAATTTACACCTCAAACTATTTCATGCGGAGCTGCAAAAATGAGGTGCGATTTGAAACTGATTAAGGTTCATAGAAGTTACTTTCCTGATTCCCTCCTTCTCCATTTCATAGACTAAATACAATATCATATTTTTTGAGGTAAAGTATACACAAATTTGGGTAATTACCTGGGCATTTGGGTTAAATAAACCATCCTTTCAAATCTATCCCCTTTTACTTATACGTAAAATAGGCTACTCATTAAATGTTTACTGCACATCGCTTTCTCATTTTAGCACCTTAATGTAGTTTTTCAAAAAAACTGATACCCTTTATAGCAAAAAGAAACATCAAAGCTGCTGTCTACAATTCTGGATGTTCAGCCTCGCACCAGCGGACGCAAAGAGGGGCGCACCTCGGACGAGGTGGTTTATGACCTGTCCGGCAGTCTACTCGCCGCGCTGCCCACCCCCATCGCATTGGAGAAGGCTCGTGCTGATCTCTTCAACACCGACCAGCGAGGTCGTGTGAATTCCCTTACCACGGTCCTGGTGCAAGAGGTTGACCGTTATAATCACCTCCTCAGGATAATCAAGGTATCCTCGCAGGAGCTGCCCTGTCCTTCCATTTATTTCCAGGTGACAATGCTTTGCATGAGTTTTCCTCCTCACCCCTAGGTGTCACTTGAACAGATGCAGAAGGCGGTGAAAGGTTTTCTTGTTATGTCAGAGAAATTGGAGAAAATCTACTCCTCCTTTTTGCTGAACACGGTGCCACGTCTGTGGGAGAACGCGGCCTATCCTAGTTTGAAACCGCTTAGCTCGTGGGTGAAAGATTTGGCACTTAGGGTGGAGTTTATCAATCTCTGGGTGCTCAATGGCCCTCCCAAATCTTTTTGGATCTCCGGGTTCTTTTTTCCCCAAGGTATGGGGTTGAATTTACCCCTAAGTTCTTCATTAATGATGTTTGTACAGTTGGGACCAGCGTAGGTTGTTGCTTCCATGTCAGGGGTTTGCTGCCACAGAATGCGGGAGATAGCAAAGTTGTCTCCATGTAACGCCTCTAGTGAACAACGATGCCTTGATATTTCATTCATATTGTGCCGCCATGTGTCTATCTTCCTTGATTAACTGTCGACGTCACAGCTTCTTACCAATAATATTTTGCTTCGGGCATCAAAATATTTCATTCTACGTACTAACACCTACAGGAAAAGGAAATGAATGATATGAGATTTGCCAAATTTGAATCCTTGTTGGAGTAAATTGTGTCTGGGACGAGGTTGAGCTTAGGGCTCGATACTGCATGCTGTTCCACAGGAGATATTCATTCTGCTCTCGTCGTTCGCGTTATGTGCCCGAGGGAGTGGAGTGTCGCCTGTTGGCGAATGTGAACGTCCTGGCGGTCATTGTGTGGAAATAAACGTTAAAGCTCCTTTCCCAGGTGTCTCCACAGTTTTAGCCATCCACTATATGTGTGGCTCGCCACCTTCAACGCCAGCGAATGAAAACGGAAGGTTCTTCACTTTGATTGGATTAAGGCATGAAAGACTTTAGGGCAACGTCCCAGACGACCGGCAGGAAGAAACGCTGACTTCGATCACTTGTGGTCCAAATGGCTAAACAACCTCTCCAAATCATCTCGGAAATTTAATTTCTTGAAGGAAAAATAGTAACCGGGTGGGAAGAAAGTGTAAATGTCAAGGCAATTTTGGCCACTTTGTTGAATTGAATCACTAATGCCTTCTTGTTGTCATGATTACTTTTAAGTTTCCTCATCTACCATGTAGACTTCCATCACTTCAGTTGGAGTTTAAATACCACGACGAACACTGAAACTATCGTCACTCTATTGTATGCGCATTTACGACCGTGTAGCCTCCATGTCCAGGCGAGGCGAGGCGAGGCGAGGCGAGGACGGCTTTGTCAGCAGATGTGTGCCAGTGGGGCAGATGTCCGTTTAGTGGTTGAAATGACTCTGCGACTGTAGTCACAACAAACATGAAATCCTTGATGTGATTCGTGTTGTTGAAGAGCTGTGCAAATTCGGCCAAACTAGCCGGGAGCGTTTTTTGTCTGTCCACCAAAGTACCATTTCACTTTATTTTAACGTGTTGTTTAAGAAGTTTCACTTTTCATATTTAGACATTTTGCAAATCGCCAAGAGCTAAAGGTCACTTCCTGTAAATTTTTTCCTTTCTTCCACCGTGCTTGGCTTTTGAATTTGTCATGTTGGATTAAACGGTTTCCGAGACTGGCGCGAGAGATTGTCAGCTAAAGTGAAGTCGCGTGACAAAGTACATTCCTCTCATTAAATGTCCTTTTTTGTTTGGCTTTGAACCCCATCTGTCGGGACAATTGACCAGTGAGGCTGAAATTCTCCACCTTTATCCACTCCTCTAATCACCATCTCCGAACTTCTCATTCTTCTTACTCATGCCTTTTGACTTTATTCATGCAACACAATGCACTGGCACACAAAAAGGGATTTCTCACCTCAGCTTTGAGACGGTAGAGGATAAACAGAAACCGTCTTAATATGAAACTAAAACGATTACTTCGTGTCCCACCTTTTTGTGACCGGAAAAATGTACGTTGACTGCATTCAATACCGTCGTATGGGAAAACTTCTGCCACTCTGCTTGTGAACGATCGGGAAAAGAGGATCAACCGTTGTGTGCACTGTTTATCCCATGCCACTTGTCTCATCCGTTTTAGGCTTCTTAACGGGCACACTGCAGAACTACGCACGGAGGTACAATTTTCCTATTGACCACCTCTCCTTCGATTTCACCGTTCTGCCTCAGTACCGCAATCAGGAGACGTATGTCTTGCGCCAGCACGAACTGGCATTCGGGGATGAGCACCCAGAGGATGCCAATCTGGAGGTGCCCGAGGACGGTGTCCTGATCCATGGACTTTTTATGGATGGATTCAGGTAAGTGGCTGATCCCTCCTTCCCCTCAGGTCTTCAATCCAATTAAAAACAATCGAACAGCTTCAAGGCCATTTCAGAATGACCCTCATTTCGAAGAGAAAATAGACTAGTATAGTTACACAGTACCACTTTTATTGTTTCGAAAGTTCTAGTCACCGCTTTTCTACGCTCTTTATTATAACAGCAATCAGAGAGGCTAACATCTGGTTTCACGATAGAGACAAACACTCACGGTGATTGTCTGTCAAAGTGATGTGTGTACTACGTTGAAGTACTAAGAGGTGGTGAACTTTTGGGTTCAAGCTTATCCGCTTTCCCCACTTCTTCGTCCATATTTAATATTGAAGTATTAATTCTAGTGGAAGAGCACTCATTTGTGCAATGCAGACTTTTACTGCAGACCCCCACGTTTGGTCAGGACTTTGCACATTCGAATCGACCTCATGAATGCAACTTGGAAAGGAACGAGGGCTCGTTAACTTCACTCGCACTTGCCAATCATGGCGCCATTTTATGTCGTTGATTGTCTGCTGGAGCAACTAACTCGAGTAAACGATCAGGACTGAAGGGACGCCTGGGATGACATGTCAGAGGTTTTTTCTTCCAGTGGCACTTATTGGTGAGCGTCAGTGATTCGTGCCGAGCAGTGTGAGGCCCAAAGTTATTTACTTTACTGTTGAATCTACTTACGGTCGCATGCTTAACTCTTTGAAGACAAAAAAGGCAATTGACGCACGGGGTGCTGCTTAGTCTCGATCGTTTGATTCCTAAAAGAAGGATTTAATTGAATAGTCAAATGGCATTTGAGAATTCCAACTACGTCGAAATGTTGTCTCCTGTACTTCCTTATTTTTCCCCACCTCAAGCTCCAAATGTTGACTTCAAGATCGGTCTAGTGGCACAACTTGTGGTTAGGTTCAGAGCAGCTCAACCCCGTGATTGACGTCTGAAGGTGAAAGCATGTTGAACTTCGGGCTCCATTAATTTTAAATTCCTTAATTAAAAAAGGCGACACAAATGTTGGCAAGTAGTTTCATTTTGAAGGTGAGGTCAGGATGATACACAGACGAATGGAGGTGTTGGTTGTTTAATTAACGGTATGACAACTTTGTTTTAATTCATCGGTAAAATCAAGGTAGAGGACAGATGAAGTAGCCAACGAAAGTGGATTATTAAGACAAATTTTATTTTCATTCCTCGTGCATCGTCAGTGAGGAGAGAAGGAGGACTTTCCTCTGTGAAGCAATTTCTCTTCGGAGTCAAACTAGGTCACGAGGCACAGTGGGTGGAGGAGGAGAAGAAGAAGGTAAACTAAAATGTCTGCTAGGGATCTCTGAGCTCTCAACATGGGAGGAATTTAAGAGGAAACTATCGACCTTATCACTTGGAAGCAGGCTGCTCCGTGAAATGCTCAAAATCGACGTTGCCTCCTTGTTGTCGCATACTCAATTAAGTCGTGTTCCCTTTTTATAATCATTTTAAGTCCGGTTTTACGTGGCTACTGATCTCCACCGCTAAACACTAGACTTACATCCATAAGCACCCATTCGTTTCCTTTCTCGTCATTTGCTTTGAACTGCTTTAGTCGTTGCTATAGCAGTAGCCATTGAATTTCTCTGTTTGAAACTCCACATCCCCTCCCTCACCCACCTAGGCAAATTTGACTACGCTCAAGTTCATTGTCAGGCCACATGTTAGGCTGAATTGGCGTCGTATCGATAGTCCGAGCGAGTGAAACCAGTAGCATCGATTCCAAACACTTCCATGCATCTTACGCTTCACTTTTGTTTAAATTTTCATGTGCATTAGGGTTTCTTGTTTATTTGTATCTGGCAATATGCTCTTCCAAGTGTCCCAATTAGTCTTGTGACAGACCTGGATTGAATGATCTCTCATAGTTGCACCGACGAAACGATAGACTAGTTTCGTCCCCATTCAGACTCCAATTGGGAGTTTAAGCCACACATGGCAGGATTCTTTCGTACTTTCTACCCCAAGATGGAACGATGAGACTATGATGATCGCCGACCCTTTGCCAAGAGTGACCATGGAGGCTATGCCAATGGTTCACATGAAGCCGGAAATGGACTTCAAGCTCGAGGCTGGTCGCTACATCGCTCCACTCTACAAGACCTCCTCACGGGCTGGAGTGCTCTCCACTACCGGTAGGTCTTATTATCGTCGCGTTACGCACCTCAGCATTAGTTTGGGGATAAGTGTATTACTTTAACCTTTGATCAGTTGTTGAATTTGTCAGTTAGGGAGTGCCATGTGAGAAAATTTGAACATTTTAAGTGTGATCATTGGCGTTCTTCTGACACGGTGACCTGAATCACGTTGACCATGAGGCAACTGTTCTTGGCAGACGATTCGTTGTTGTCCACAGAATAGTCATTCGAGCCATTGAAACTGGTTTAGTCGCGTTCACAATTGAAGTTAACAAAAGTTGGCAAACCAACAATCTTGGTTGCAGCCGCTTAGTCGATGACCTCAGCAATTTAATCACCTTCGATACCATCAATTGAATCCACAAAGGGGCGTGCTACTAGATAAACCCGTTCTTACACTCCAGCAGTGCAGGTAGAAGGCACGCTGCTAAGTCGTGGCCGCATCGCTAAAATACACCAACTGTCTGCGATGAAACGGTCGCGCTGTTCCTCCAGCGATTTCAATTTGTAGCTAGGGCTATTACTATTTCTTAGCCAGTTTAAAGGTCATTTCCCGACCTTGTCATAACCAAAAGATTTTACCAATTCCCCTCTGAAGCACTAACAAGTTGATCTGCCTTGAATTTCACGAAGAATAAGGATTGCGATCATTGTTCGCACGATATCAATAGCATTAATTCACCTACCCAGGTTCCGTCATCTGCGGAACTGTTGCGTTGAATGTGGTTCTACATATATTTTTAGCCTGCTACTTATGATACCTTGGTAACCCCGATTTTGCTCCAAAAGCTCTCATAACTACAACAAGTAATGGGTGCCGATATCAAAACCTATGAAAATCACTCAATTTCATCTTCATGGGATGTACAAGGTCACTCGACATCTGCTAATGCCTCAATTGAATCACTTTCTGGGGCTCACCATCTCATGATGGCTGGAGAGACCTTAAGGAGTCACGAGTAGAGCATCAAGCTACTCTCGATTTCCACAAAACGGGAACATTATGCTGTCAGAAGAATGAAATCACAATTTTGGACCACCCTACCACCTAAAACACGTTCTCTCTCTTTAGGCATCTCGACGAACTTCATCACGGCCATACCACTGCCAAGTTCAGAACCTCAGGATCGCTGGATCAGCTACGGAGCTGCCCTGTTATGCGAAAACGAGAATGCCTAATGCCCTAAACCAATACATCACAGGAACAAAACAAAGTGAACTGTTGTAAACAACCATTCAGAATGCATCACTATGCCAATTACACTTCGAGAAAGGAAACTTGGTTGCTTCTTCCAAGCCCAGAAAAAAGCAGGAGATCAAGGGGTAAAATGTCCAATAAAATATCATTTATACATATTTACTATAAACGCGTCTATCGCGAATACACGTATGTAAAAAAAACTGCATCTCCGTGTTTATATCTTTGGATATACGATGAGTAATATGTACAAACACGGATGCAAGTTAGGCGGCAACCTCTCCCTCATCCTTGTCATCCGACCTTTCAATGGGTTCTTCATCGTCGTACACGACGACGTTCCACTCTTCAGTTGGCACTCCATCCTCCCCCCCGGCAGCAGTTGGGTCGGTCAGTTCAATGCCTGCTGGGAGTCGAGATTTGATGGTGGCTTCAACGGTGGGAGACTCCTCACCTGTTCCAATATAGTCCGTGTCGTAGTCCTTGTACCACGCAGGTAGGCGGCGAGCACGAGTGATACGACGACTAGAAGGAGCTATGGGAAGGTGTCTGCTCGGCGTGACTGCAGACCTCCTTGTGGCTGCTAAAGCGGAACCTGAATTTCCCATAGCGGTGGAAGACAGTGTCTCGGCTAACGGTCTTAAAGCCTCATCATCTCCACCTCCCACTTGTTCACCACGCCCCTCCACAATTTTGTGCGGTGCTGCTTTGATCAGCGTGATTGTCCGACGAGTGACATCTGAAATAACGTGGATCATGAGATCATACACGTCAGTCGCACACTTGTCAAAGGACTACAGCTTACTTGTTCCATCTTCAACAGGAGCTAAGTCATCATCCACCTCTTCCTCTACTTCGAAATCCTCCTCGCCTTCAGCAAACTCTCCCGCCTCGTCATCCTCTTCTTCTCCATAGAGTGAGTCGAACTTACTGCCACGGAGACGCCTGCGTTTGGTGCTGGATACATAGCGAGCTGGGGGGAGTGAAACACTATCCTCCCCATCCTCCTCCTGGCGCCTGTGCTGATCATGGTGACGATCCAGCAGCATAATCGAGTTGGTAGTAAACTCGCATTGGCTATACCGACACTTTAATCGGCCAACAGCACCTCTAGACTGTCGTGCATTTCGTTCTTCCGCATGCATACTACGAATGTGAGTGTCCAGGTCCTTTTTCATCTCAAAAGTGGACTCGCAGTATCGGCAGACGTGACGGCGGTTCACCTTAAGAGCGTGAGCCCGAGTGATGTGATGATTGAGCTGGTTAAATCCTGGAAAACCTCGTTCTCCGCACACAGGACAGGAGATGATTTGGCTACCTTCATGCGCCTTGACATGAGCTTTTAGAGAGGCCACATCACTGACGTAAGCATTACACGGCAAACAACGAAACTTAGTTTGAAGAGTACGCACGATGCGACAGCTCCTTGTGTGCTTATTGAGGTTATAGATACTGTCGAAAGTCAATGAACATCCCAGACATTCTAGAGACAACTAGAAAAGCACGTTGAAAATGGAGAGTGCAAACTTACCTGTGAAGAGGCCATCATGGCAAAATGTTCACGCAGTTCATGTTCCCGAGTTCTCAGGTGAGCCAAATAAATGTCATAAGACGAAAAGGCTTTGTTGCACGTATCGCATCGGAAAATTTTATCCCGATATATGTGACGATTACGATGCGTTTTCATGTTAGCCTTTTGTGCAAATCGTTTATTGCAAACATCACAAACAAATGGCTTCTCACCCGTGTGTGCCCTTTTATGGTGCTCCATGGTGCCACCGTTGTTAGTCATGTAGTTGCATTGATCGCAATGAAACTTGTAGTTTGCCGGATTTCGTTTGGGCTTTTTAGGATCAACGTGGCATCTTCGGGCATGTAAAAAAAGTTGGCTTAGTGTCTCAAAGAATTCTTCGCATTGACGACATGTGTAGACTTTGACAAAATGCTTTTCGCGCATGTGCTTGGTGAAGGCATTAGCATTTGAGTAAACAGCAGGACAAGAAGGACATCTATAAGTTATTCCACCAGGTTGAGCTCCAGCCATCGTCAAAATTCCACCAGAACCAGAAACAATCCCTGGAGCGCCATAATAAGTTTTAGTTGCGGGGTCGTAGAATTGCATCTGCTCGGGAGACACTTCTATTATTTGTGTTCCATCAACAAGGGTCTGATCGGCCAGCTAGATAAGTAAGTCGATAATGCAAATCAAACAAACCTGGACAAATTCCGTGCCCCCTTCCCCAGTAACGGTTGTGACAGCTCCAGAGGCGATCAAGCTTTCGAGGGTAGCCATGTCTAGGTTGTCGTCAGCGGCTATCAGCACCATATCTTCGCCGTCGTTTTGGATTCCTAAATCGTTCAAAGATAGGTAGACCTGGCCGGTGTCCCCAGTGGCTGCGTATGGCACAGCAGAGTAGGTTCCATCGGGATTCATGATAACAGACGTAGCGTCCTCGGATACGATCTGGTCAGCCATTCTGTCAGGAAATGGGGGAACCCATTGAACGAATAGATATAAGAGTGAAAGGTGTTAACAAAAGGGAAGAAAGTTATTATTCGGGGCGATAAAATTCATCTAAAAGTAACAACGAATATAACGCCCATGAAATGCGTTAATACAAACAAAATTAAAAAGCAATTTAAACAACAAAACTAGCTGTATTCAAGGCCAATATGGCGGATAATGAAAGACGCAATCAATATGGACAGATGGTGCATTAAAACAAAACGTAAAAGCAATAACTTTTCAATTTTGATACATAATCATTAATCACCGCAATCTTTAAAGGTAAAATTAGCTCGAATTTTTTAACTACATTACAGAATTTGAGCTTGGAGAATGGATAAGTAAAAAACTGGGTTGGTAGATCTCAAAAGACAACGAGCAAAACGAAATAGGGAAACGACAGGAGCTTCTACCTCCAAGTTTTATTTCTCCAGACTCACAATGACGCAAGGAAGATCTTGGTCCTTTATCTAGCATGGAGTCAGTTAGCGACACTACCAAGAGTTATGTGGTGCTCATAACGACAGAACGAGAGCATGGTGCGTTCTACAGTCTCCTAGCCTAATTGCACGGCAAAGGTGTGGCCATCGAGGTGTCACCCAGGTTTCCTTGAATACGTGCTTACTAACGTTAGGAAACGATTATTGGTATGGACATTGGGAACGATTCCAAGATTTTTTGAAACCGTGGGTTGATTTACTTTCTTGTTTTTAGCGGACAGGAACCCTAAAGTCCGTAATTAAAGCGGAATTTTGGCGGTGTCAGTCTGTGCGATTCTGACCTTTCTACGTTGAAGGCAATATTATTCAGTAATATTTGGCAATTAAGGGGCTCTGTTTCTACTCACTTTTCTAGTGTGCTTGGCATTTCCTCGAAAAATATTGAATGTTTTTATAAAACTTATATAATACTTTGACCCAATTAAAACTCATGCAAAATTTGTGCACTGTGTGATATGGCTCTAGACTTTTCTGAAGACTGGAGTAACAATCTAATTGAAACAGAGTAAATATATTCGCCCAAAAGAACAGTTTGATGACATGGACATAGAACCTCCCAGACAACTCTCAGGCATCTGAACCTCGGGTTTCATAAGAAGGTTGTTTGGCGAAGATCTACCGGGCATCCTGTACAGAATGGGAATGAGCCCATCAATAAGGCGACGATCCAGCTCCGCTACTCGGATGAGCCCTTGTCTTCTCCGCGCGTGGACTTTGTGCTCGAACTAACTAACTTCCCCTCCTCTATAAGGCAACTTAAGAACATTATTACACATATAGCAATGGATTTGGCCCAGTTCCGGGGGAACTTGCTGGCATTGCAGCGGTCGACCATGCATCTGAAAATGAAATCAGGACTCAAACTACACGCATGTCGAACATCTTGCCTCGCCTTATGGGAACTGTCCAGGCTCTTCTTTTGACTGGCGTCGTGCGTCAGCAACCACCACTTTTATGACCCGACTACGTAATCTAAGCCATCTTTACGTCACTTACTACTACTCGGGTTTAAATCGAATGGGAGACTTCTCGCTTTCAGAATTGGATGCAAGTACAAATTTTGGTTCAGTAAATTGTATTTCCGTGGTTAGGAATTGAGACTCTGGAAAGAGATATTTCATTTCGCACAACGGAATTCAACACAGTTCTGCAATCTTGAGTATTGGATGCAGCAACTTACCAATGCACCTCAAGGGTTATTGCTGTGGATGAGTAACTAGTCCATTTAGCAAACCCAAGCTGAGCAAGAAGATAGATCAGCCTTTACCCACCCCCACCTCTTCTGCACAACTATACTGACAATCTAGAAGGAAGATTGGATCTCTAATGCACATCTCTAGTCGGGCGTATTAAGCAAGGGTGAATAAAGTAGGCTTCAGCAAATGTTTACTGCGTTTAGGCAACGAACAGCCGGGAACTCAGAGTGGTTAACAGGCAATATTCGGGATTCGTGTTCTTCGAAATCCAACAAATTTGCAGCTGGTAACGACCTTTTAGGGCCTCTCGATGTAGTAAAAAATACAGAAAATTTGACCCCGCCTTGTGCTTGAATTTGAACCTTTCAATGCCACCATGACGATAGTGCGAAAAGCAATTCCGTACCTTAGCTTGGAACACTCCTCAAAACAACCATGCTGGCAGTCTACCTTGGATTTACTAGTCGTCTGCCTGTAGAGCAATAAGTTCCCAACTCATTTACTTACAAGCACCAGTCATGAGGTGCACATTCATAATAAAATTACCTCTACGATCTTAAGTCTTACGATGTCCACTCCTCTGTCATTTGCCACTCACTTGCTTCCACAATCTAGCTACCTGGGGTAAAGTTAACCGCGCAACAACGGCGAAAGCACAAATAGAAGAGAGTATAGTTGGAGTTTGCAAAAAATAGGCAAGACATTTTCGATTACCATTACACGTTAAGTTAATAAAGCTATACTGAGAGGTTGTGCACACTCCTTTACTTGGAGAACCCGCATGGAATCGTACAATCGCCTCAATTTGGAAATAAGGCTTACGCCACCTTTCATCAATCAACCACCGCTTAGTTTCCCAATATATATGGATGGTGAAAACCTGGGAAGAAAGGGATCAACAATGAAGCAGCTGTTGCCGTCCAACACGCGCCGTCAACTGCATGATGCACCTATGCAGTGCACGAGCGCCGAAGTTACTGCTAAAGCTACCAGCTCAACATCTGGGCTAAAACGCAAATCAATGACGCGTTACGAATCCCTACCAAAAACACATTCAAGTAATAACGAATAGTGGATGCAATACCTTGGGTATTCGACTAGCTCTATGATTGGTAGCTACCTGTCCGTGTGGACCGGTCTTTGAGCCAGACCAAAATCCAGTCTCTCTCCCCTCTCCACAAATACAGGTATTCAGCCCTACTTAATGTCTTCTTCCATTAAATGGGAAGTCTCTGGACGTTGCAGCGGGCACAGACACACGTCAACATATTGCCGCATTTGCAGCTTTTGCATTCAGCATGATCATTTGCGGCTGACAAAATGCAAGCCATAGCGAAGTTCAATAGGAATAATAACGAATAAATCAAAGCGTGATTTCAGAGGCTGAGCTAGTCATTATCAGCAAACTAGGCGGGCAGGCCAACTACAGAGCTGGAAGAAGAGAAAGACATTTGGAGATGGACATTATGTAACCATAGTATCTGTGACTAATAGAGTACACCGAGAGTTGACTTAAGTATTCTGCATCAAACCTCTCTATTCGGATGAGGTCAAGGTACACAAGCGAGCATGCCTTGTTTGATTTTCCACAATCAGACCTTACACTGGTCGTTATGAGGCTTGTCCTGTTACGTGTGCCGGTTCTTCGGTGTTCCTGAGAATTGGCAGCAAGCTCTTTGGCACTCACATGCCTCCAAACATCCTTGAAGTTAAAGAGCACCTATATAGCAGCAAAGGTGGCAAATTTAATAGCGTGGAGGGAGCAGAGAGTGCTCAAAACAAGAATGCGCTGGGCTAATGTGTTCTAGGTGAGCACCCAACTGCATAAAAGGAGAGAACTGCACAAGCTCTTCTGTTCTTTCGTAAATCGACTTCCGAACTAGCAACACTTAATTTTGCTCGCGGCACCCATTTCATCTTTCTTCCAGCCATTTTGAACGTTGATGATCAAACGTGTTCCAGACTTGTGCATTGAAGTGCATTCAAGAACATTTTAATTGCTATACTAGTGATAGTATGATGAGACACGCCCGAGGTTTTAAATAAACACTGAGAAATGATACAACTTTTTTGAGAGTTTAAAACCATATAAGTGATCGCCCTGGCCTTCTTTCAAATCAAACATTAAGCCATTTACAGATTCTTTACCAATGACTCGAGTGTCGCATATCCTCGTACTAATTGCCTAACCTCTCTAACCGAACAGCAACACCAGTTACTTCAAGCATGGACAAACATCGACAGATATGTCACTGCGCAAAAATATCGAGACATTACCAAATCAACGGGGCTCAAGGTATTCTCCACAGTGCGGACCAGACGTTGTGACGAAGATGGATCATACTTGAGGAGAGGAACGTAAAATTCGGCTACAAATTCAAAGGGCAAGACGATGAGGTGAGGGCTGAACAAGTGCTATGGGAAAATGAGAGAATAATCAACGCTTTCTATTGATGGATGATAACTAGGAGGAGTCAGAGAAGCAAGGACTATTCGACTTTTGCTTAGCGAAGGGATGGAGATCTTGAACTTAATGTTGATTAAACAGTCTGCCTGAGTCGCAAAAAAATGGCACCATATAAATCATTTGTGTTCTAATAAGTGGAAAGACGGGCATTAATGCCACGATGATTCGCCTGATACGATGCTGTGATCACTGGCAGTTCTACCTAACACTGGTTCAGCCACCTGGAACCAGTATCCCATGTATGCGCGAAACGATTCAAAGCACTTTAATAAACACAGAATGCTTGTTCCTGGAGCATAACCAGGTTATTGTAACAAGCAGAGAGAACAGACGGTTCAACGACATTGGATTTGGGCAGGAAAATACCTGAGCAACAAAATCCCTCATTGTAGCCATGAGATGAAAACTTAATAACTACTAAAAAAAGCGGTGACTACCGATGAGGATGTCTCAAAGCATATCTGAGTTTAAAAGTTATTCCAACTATGTTGGAACACAAATAGTGAGGATCTGTTTGTGAGACTGTCACAAGTATGGATAATAAAGGTTCAACAAACAGCTTTTAACACCGTCACATCACAAATGAATGCGTTGATTACAGACTTGACTACAGGATGCATGCTCTGAAAAGAATTACTGAATCAATGGTAACCTTGGCAAATGAAAGCAAACCTTTATTCACCATGAAAGAAAGTGCAATAGTCAAGATATGCAATATTGTCATGGATCTTGCAACTCTAGGTGAATTGACTAAGTGTTACGGAGGAAGAAAAAGAAACCAGCTCAAGTGATCTATCTCAGCCACCGTGACTTAATACGAAACGTTGTTTTAAAAGATGCATTCGTTCCAAGCACCGATAAAGTAAAATGAAACCCAGATGCTAGCAGAACACCAGAAAAATCATCCAGCGAGAAGCCCAGACAGAAAAAAGTCAAGCACAGACAATTCGGGAGTTTGTGACGAACCTGCCAGCTAACAGTAAAATAAAAATCTTAAATAGCATCATCACGATGAAAAGTAAGCAACCAAACGTGGAAACTTTTTGCGCTCCTAAAAATAAAATGAATATACACGAAGCAGTATCTTACTAACAAGTACGATTAAAATTAATAGATGTGACTCCGATATTTTGAATTAGCAAAAGATACAGGCATATTCATAATTTACAAGACTACTATGCTCGTTCGAGCAACCCATCACACATCTTATATTAGAGTGCAAATGAAGGGTATGAAAATAATCGACAGAAATAAGCACCACCTCAATGCAAGAGTGGTTCAGGGACTAAGAAGTAACCGAAACTTCGATGCTTACTTCATTTGATATTTCCAGAAAGAAATGTTAGCCAAAAAATAATAAACGTGCCTACCTGCCAAAGATAGCAAACCCCAAAGCACCACGGAGGGTCGCAACCGCTCGCAGCAGGAAAAAGGCGCCACAGCTTTCGTAACCGTGCCATCACTGACGCTAGTCACGAAACTAGCGAACAAAACTTTTGCAAAAGTACTTTTCGACTATGGCAATAAGTATAATTGGCATTTCGAACTTTCAGTGAAAATTGCTATTTATTTTCAGCCTGATTTGTGAATAGAGCGTAAGAACACAGTAACGCAAATTTTAGCCCAATTAGCCATTAGAAGCCACCGGCAATCATCGTACTTAAAAGAGGCAATTTGCCTTTTGCCAAATTAGTATTTGGAAAAATAACCGAAATATTATAATGCAAAACACACAATTAGACGCGCATAATTTAAGAAAACAATTCTTTAGTCCTCACTTTTAGATGCGGCTTGAGCAAATTAATGCATTCTTGCCTCTAATTCTGACCTACTTTCCTTAAACCATGGATGCTATTGGTTAGACTACCTCCGGAATCTTTAGCGTGTCCACTGATCGGCATTAACCTAATTTCTGGGATGGCTGTCCACGCAAGTGGCCTGTTCTTAATTCTTTGTACCCTGTATTTTGTCGCACCCTTTAAGTCATTAATTTCTTGGCATCCCCTTTTCATGATAATTGGACTTTGCGGTTTCTCATTGCAAGGAATCATAATCTTTAACAAGTACAGCTCGCTTATACAAAATTCCTCAGGTAACAAAAAGGTAACGTGTCTTTTTCCTATGGCCTAGCTCGTAATTGAGGAATTCAATTTTGCTTTATGATTCACCTACAGTTAACCTTTCACTGGGTCTTGCAAACATTGAGTCTACTGTCAATCTTAGCCGGATGCGCTGTCATCTACAAGGTGAAAAGTGATGGGAACAAAGGCCACATGACGACATGGCATGGCTGTTTGGGCTATGTTTTTCTGATATGTGGCCTCTTGCAAGCATTTTTGGGTGTTGTCAATTCCTACGACTTATTGCGACCTTGGATGAAGCACCGGACCTCTCATCAAATACACGCGATTTCTGGAGCTGTCTTCTTTTCTCTCGGTTGCCTAGTGACCGCCTTGGGCCTCCAAAGTTACTGGTTTCAGCAGAAAGTTCTTGTGGATGCCATTCAGGATCATGGTGTTCGTCTTTTGATCGGCTATTTCCTTACTTTCCTTCTTGCTCTTTTAGCAATGGTGACCATCAAGCAGGTTTATGATAAGTACTTTTCAAGGACTGAAGGCAGTAATACTGCAGTCAGTGCTCATTCGAAAAAGTCAAAGCGGTCAAACTGATTAAGGATACACTGGAGGGCAGTGGACTTGTGCATTTACTTGCACCTCATACGATCTCGGTTCTTTTATAGCGCCCCTGTTTTCGCTTAAACTAGTTACTTCAATTTGTTCTTCTGTATACGCATGCCTTTCTCCCTTTTGTTTTGATCCAATTTTTGGAGACGTTTAGTCTATAGCTTTCTGCCTTTGTCTCAAAGCAAGTCCTCTATCCCGTTCTTCCAAGGTATAAGCCTAATTTTGGGAGCTTTGGATAAAGTGTAGTAGTATCGCTCAGGGGGTTATGTCTTACAAAGCAGTGCAATTAGCGGTGTTACGTCTTGCTGGAGACCGCAGTCGAAACGAAAGGAGGTATCATTGAGGGGACCAGAGTTTTTGGCTTAAGTTGTATTTCTGCCTTAAAGCTGACCAATTGATTTCTTTGTCAGTTTCCACAATTTGCTGGTTGGTGGGGCATCGAGTCTTAGTCTCCAAGATAGAATGAGAGAATTGAAGTGTAGTGGTGATGGTGGTGAATCTGTCACTTTTCAAAGAACTAAGGTCACCGTTTTGCTAATTTTCATCCCTGCACCAAAAAAAATAAATAATAGGCGTTTATTTGAAGGCAGTACAATGAGACACAGGGCGATAATCAGTTGCAGACCGACAGAGTGGTGGTGGTCTGATCTAATGGTACGTAGGTGAATCATGGTAACAAAATCTTCAGGTTAGAGTACTGCTAACGGAGTCTTCATTTGAGAAAAGGTTGGGATGTCTGATTTACCTTGCGCCAAACATCCCGCTCCGGTTAGAAGTTAAAATCTCCCTACAAAGAAGGACGTTCTTGTTGATTGCTACGCTTCTCCAACCAACAGTCTATCCATCAAGGGAATAAAATATATTGGACAAATATTACTAAGGTATGCTAGTTGCGTTCACCCTTCTGACAACAGGAGTCAAGGCGGTAAAGGGGAGTGCTTACTGAAATCGTGTGAGCAGGTATTTCATTCCTTCGTAGACTCCAGAACCAAAAGCAGCTTTGGCTTCAACGGCGGTTCTCTGGATTACGTCTCTTGGGAGCTTCTCCCTTAAATTCTCACCTGCATAGACGTAGAGCTATAAAAAGCAGAACATATTATGAATACAACATTGAGCTCACAGGCTATCTCTTGGAGTCACAGTCAGAGATACCGATGTTCGAGGTGCGAACCAAACTAATAAAAAATGAACTTGTCAAACAGTTTTGAGTGGGTTGTGCATTGAATGGTGGTATTGTGGAGTGCTGATCAAACGGAATGAACTTACGACTCCATCAGTCTTTGAGTAGAATATGATGATTTTATCCGACTCAGATTCGCATGTGGTGGGAAGCCTCCAAGATCCGAACAGATAGTAGGTGAAAATGGCTGCATAGTTGATTATATTTTCATCTGATTGGTCTTCCGCCATTCTGCAAAGTTTGTAAACAGTTCAGAGGTATTTGCAGTTTTTTTTATTTGCGGGTCTTAGCTCTTCAGAGTACAGTTGAAGTATTTCAGACTCTCAATTATTTAGCTTTCATGCATTCTTTGGGACACTAGGCGTCCTGAAAGAGTACACAGTTGCAGTGGTCAGTAGGATTTACAAAAATGACACCTTGACACGGCCTCACAAATGCCAGCACCTTACCGACAGGATCCCGAAGAAATCACAACACCCCAAAATTGTGTTTACCATTTTTGATGAAAATTCGTACTTAATCCACCTCTGAATGTATTCACACGCACTCAGACACGCCTGTACACACATTGGCAACTAATCTATGCCTGTGTTGGTATCTATTCGGGTGACAAATAAGGGTGGATGGACACCCACTGTCCTCTCTGTCCAATGATAACTTGTGTGTCCAATACCACTTGACAATCATCCACCTATCTCAAATAGGTTTGTCCATATTTCTTTTGAACATGCCACTTTGGTTGTAAAATCACTGATGTGGGAATTAAGAGACTTTAGGAACCTCTTTTGCGCAAATCAAAATGTGAAGGTCTGTTTAGCAAACACTTCACTGGAATGGACGCTTCGTCTCTGTGTCACAAGTGATCTCTTCAACTTTACAAGAAAAAAATAGAGTTTTGAGGCTTTTGTTCCTCCACTTCCTAGATTTTGAATGGCCTGCTTTGAAATGAATCTTTTCACCGATGAACCGTAGTAGTGCTTTTAAAAGAAGGATAAAAATTTTGATTAATCGGTTGAAAGGTGAAAATCCACGTCGACACCACAGCGAGGTGCCGATTTTCACTGACTAAGCCCAACATCACCCGTGAACGAATGAACGCAATGGAGCATCAAGAGGTTGACAGAGCCCATTTTATCCCTTAGAGAGGTCACAGAAGTGAGCCATTTCAGGGCACGTACTTCTTCCTGCACAAAGAAGTCAAACGAAACCCGATATACTTTCGTCCTTGTAGCTGCAGTGCTGCCACAAATAAAGGGAGGCATGCTTTTTAAATTCCATCGTGGGATTGTTTAATTTCAACCACAGCTGCATCCAAGGTAGAGCAAGAATTGGTATGGACACAAGACAGCATCTAATGGAGTTGGTTTTCAAACGACCTCTGTGATGGAATTCTGGCTACGAAGAGCATGCGAGGTCGTGGTAGGCTTTGAATGCTCTGCCAAAGATGCAATGTATTCGCAAATTGACATCCACTTGGCTAGACGTTAGATTGCAAAGTGTAGCATAAATGAGGTGCGAAGATGCAATGACATCACAATGTGCCATTAAACCCTTTTTTGGAGCAAAAATTCATTGATTCTTAGAACTGGTTCAGCATGCTTAAGAATGGAGAGTTGAAGAGAAAGGAACACTTGTGCTGATGGAGTGGTGGAAAACTGGATACTTTTGCGAACTGAATCGCGAAGGCATCAATTCGTGTCACTTACTTGAAAAAAACAAACGCGCACTTTACAAATAGACGCAATGACTGGACTTACAAAAGAGAAAGTGATGGTA